ATGTATGTATGTATATATGTGTGTGTGTGTATGTATGTATGTATGTATGTATGTATGTATGTATGTATGTATGTATGTATGTATGTATGTATGTATGTATGTATGTATGTATGTATGTATGTATGTATGCATGCACGCACGCACGTAGATAAAATATGCATATGAGACATCATCCACATACTTTGGTCTCTTCATTGAGTGTAAAGCTAAGCGATATCTCCGCGGAGGTTTCTCGCATGAGCGCTGCCTGGTTGCCGACGTCTTTGGACTGGTGCCAAACTTCTTCTTCGACCTTAACGGTGATCGGTACCTATAACGAACGCATATATTGTTTGCAAGTTGAGTGAAGTGATGCTCTGTGAGTGTGCGTGTGAAAGATTTCGTACATACATTTGCATAATTACATTCATATATAAGCCTATATATGAACATACTACCCAGGGAAATTATTCCTACAGATCGTTTACATTAATTTAAGTAACTGTATTTATATATAAGCCTAGATACGCACACACTACCCAGGGTAAACATATCCACATATCCTCATACCCAACGCCATATAAGACTCCACATACCTCATACGAGCCGAGTGTGTCCTCATTCGAACTCTTAAGCCCACAACCTGCCACACTCGCAACAGGGACGTACACGTGCGCCGATGCGGTGCATATGCCATCGGTTACAGGTACAACTACCCCCGGAAACACCAGCTTGTTTGTAACCGATGGAGACTCGCACTGGCCAACTGTCATGAGCTGGGGATTTAGAGGGCGAGAAAGTGGACTATAAACGAGGGGTGTGGGCGAGAAAGTGGGACAGTGGCTTTAATGCCCCAAGCGCCAGTGTACAAATGTGCATATAGATGTATATAAACCTCGTGTAATTTCTTCTGGAGATCAATCAGTAGTACCTTGACATGCTCTCCTTGGTAGATCGGTCCCATGTCCATGCCGAGTTTGATACCTTTGTCATTGCCATCTACCGGCAGTGGGGTGAGTGTCAAGTTTAGGGGCGTTTCTACGTAGTTGATCCCCACCGTACACATCTTGCCACTTTCGCCCGTGTCTTTGAAGTTAATCCTGGAAAATGATGTATTTGATGAGTATACAATTATCTAGTGTGGTTTATGTTGTTTAGTATTGGTGATCAAGATATAGGGCTCGAGTACGTTGTTTAGTATTGGTGATTCAGATACAGGGCTCGAGAATGTTGTTTAGTATTGGTGATTGAGATATAGGGCTCGAGTATATCAATGAATGTCGAGTAGGTTGTGGGATGGGTCATACGTGAGAGTGAAACTGATTGGTGTGCTAGCTGTGAATACTATTCGAAAAATAGTATGATACTCAACCACACACCTGCGCAAACGGACAGCATGGGATCCACTACTATAGATGAAAGCGTTAGGCTGGCCAGGTATACTATTTGTATTGGCAATCTCAACCATCCCGGGCGACTCCTCACTACTGATAGCGGTGGGGGGCTCTCCCATGATTGTGACATCTGATGCCACAAAGAAGAGAAAAATGGAGAGTACTATAACGCGAAAAGAGTAGAGAGCATGGCAAAGACTAGAATATGATGCATTGAGAGAGCACAATAATGCGACAGATAGCAGATGATATACAAATATGGTAGCCAATGAGATCAAAATCAACGCTCAAATATTCACCTAATTTTTCGG